TTTGATCTGCAGAAAGAAAAGCGTGTTGAAACTTTTGTTGCCTTGTTGAATCGGTACAAAAATGAAGGAATATTGGATCGAATTGTGACATGTGACGAAAACTGGATTGTTTACGGTAACCGTAAGCGAAAAACCGCAACGGTGCCCTAAAGCAAAGCTTACCAATAAAAAGGTAATGGACATGGTAACTGTTTAGTAGTCTCTACATGGTGTTATTCACTATAGCTATCTCAAGTCTGGTCAGGCAATAACAGCAGGTGTTTACTGTGCCGAACTTCGAACAATGATGGCGAAACTGGCAGTGAAACAGCCCCGACTCGTGAATCGATCCATTATTGCTCCATGATAACGCAAGACTTCACGAGAAACCGTTGTAACTCTACAGGAGCTGCAGTTGGTAACCATACGTCATCCTCCGTACTCGTCAGACCTTGCTCCAACGAACTACCATTTTTTTCGTGATTAGAACAATTTTTTCAGTGATAAAAAAAATTGTTCCCAGAAGGTAGTACAAAATGCTTTCACACAGTTTGTCGAATCTAGATACCCAGAGTTCTATCGTTTAGATTGCATCAATAATGAGAGTAAATATTTTTATTAAATAAATATGTTACATATTAGGAAAAAAACGAGTTTCAATTTTTCTCAAAAACCCATAATATTTAAATATACAATATATACACTAGACACATATTTACAGGGTTACTGGTTAAGTTGACCTAGATACTTTAGGGAGTTGCAGTAGCCATTATTAATAATAGATTTCAATATGAAATACCATATCCCAAACCTAACCATTTTCAAGATATTGGACTTTTAAGATTAATAAAGTCTAATACACTTTTTTTAAGAACTTTAGTACTCAAATTTCTTATTTTTTCACTGTTTTTGTGTAGTTAATATATTGTTTTATAATTTCCATCATCAGAATTGTAGTTACTTTAACAAACTGGGTCGAAGTAGATGATTACAATGATAAAAAAAATTATTATTTGGAGATTTTTTTTAATGATAGTTAAGTTGCAGATGTTTTAAAAACCATGTACACATTGTCAGCTATCTATCAAGGTCTAATAGTCTAAGATAGTATCAAAATTCGTAGAAAAAACTTAGATAAATGACCGAGAGTATTAAGAATTATCGCACAACCCGGTAGACCCAGTATAAAACTTTGCTTGTATTTTTGGACTCTTTTATTTTTAATTCGTGACGGACTATTGTTAACTGGAATTTGATTTGTACTTTTGATACTATTGAAGATGACGACCTATACGAACAAGGAATAGGCTGAAATTGTTATTTGTTACGGATACTTACTGCCAATGCGTATCCGTACGAGCCACCCAACCACCTCTTCCAATCCACTCATTACGAAAATTAGAATTCAGCCATTCTTTTACACTTCTAATGTGATTTAATGGTAAATCGTAAATCATCAATTTTTCTACTGTTTTCGGGGAGAAAGAAAGATTCAATCAAGTGTTTTGACAATACCCATCTACACATTCAAACTGAAGCGTTTGTGTTTTTTTGGCACCCAATAATTAACGCTGTGCTAATTGGTATACATACATATATTGGTTTTTACGTATCAAATATGATTGTGTCCATAAAGTATCTCAGAAATATAATAACGGGTCTTCTAAATATGCATTAAGCATAATTCTGCAGAAATCCAACCTCTTGGAAGTTTCTCCTTCTTCAATAACTTATACCAGTGGCGTATAGTGATATGGGTATAAGCCCGCAATATTCACACTACATTTTCCACTGTGAGTGAGGGTGAGTCTCTGTGACAACAATATTGGTGGAAGTTGTTAGATCCAATTTAAATCGTTGAACTGGCTCCTTGTCCTCTTCGTCATATTATTCAGTGAAACGTGATCTATCCAGATCAGATTGTCGCCTTGACACAGAGCCGATCGCTCTAAGTCGTCGATAGGCTCCGTCCAACACAATAACATCCAGCACTCGACGGCCGAGATAGCGTGCTATGTTATGTATTTCATCCATGAGCCAATACATAGCATAAACACTTTCCTCGTTCGTATACGTTATCATCTCCAATAGTATAAAAATCATAAATTAAAGTCCAGTTAGTAATAGTTAGTCACGAATAGAAAACAAAACAGTCCAAAAATACAATCCAAGTTTTTAACTAGAATTATCTAGTTAAAAACTTGGCTTGTATTTTTGGACTTATCGGGTTGCACGCTAATTTTTAATACTCCCGATCTTTCATCTAAGTTCTTCTATGAATTCTGATATATCCTAGACTATTATATCTTTTTAGATAGCCGACAATATATGTATATTTTTTAACAAATCTGCAACTTAACTGTCATAAAGTTTTTTTAAATATTCGCCAAAGAAAGAAAAAACAATTTATTTCTTCTTGCTATTATTAACCATCTACGTATCAGTCAGACAGTATCTAGTTTATTGACTGCAATTTTGGTAATGGAAATTACAACAAACATACAAAAAAAAAAGACAGAATTGATAATCTTCTCTTTTGTGTTTTGGAAGTCGGTTAAAAAGGTATTTTAGTAGTAAAGTATTAAACATCCAACGTTGACTGTAATGTGATTATATCGTATTGTAGCCAAAAATTGAATCAGTAATCTGCTAGTCTTAGTTATACATTACTATTTTACCACGAAAATACCTTTTATGAGAGTTGCGAGATCGAAAGTTGATCGGAACTAAAATGTGATAGAACTTTTATTACGAGAATTGGCCTTCTGTTTTCCCGACAATTAGGAAATCAATCGCTTAAAGGTGTTCTATTAGCCAACGAGCTTCGCTTCCCCAAACAATATCCCTGTTTAACAACGGGTAGGGTACCAACGTAGTATCCAAGTCCTGACACCAAGGACGAGACACCGACCACATTCAATCGGCTGCGACGATCCTCAGAGTATTCCCCTAAATAACATTACATCTATTACAACAAAAAAATCAATCAGCCATTCATTCTTTATGCCTTTATAGTATAATTTATGTTTTAACATATTTGTGTTCTACATTTCCTTTTGTTCGTTTATACATACACGAATGTCGTTTGAATTAGACATGATTATAGCTGACACAATGGAGATATACTCGTAATAGCTAGGTTCGATGATGAAGGTAGCAGTAAGTTAGTCATAATGCGTACAAATAAATAAAAGTAAATGTATTGTTTGTTTTTCTTCATAATTTTCATTTCGACGTATTTTTCTGCTTTATCGTGATAATATATAATAATAAAATAATAAGAATACGGCTAATAGACATATACTAGTTTTATGTTAGCTTTAGTAACAAACTTTTTATAAGAATCTAATGACAATACAATGTAAATCATATGCAAAATATAACCACGACCTTATTCTGATTCGGCAAGTACTTTTTTATTATTTTGGTAGAAAACCAATCGTCCCCTCTACTAGTTGCGACGATCTACATCTTTTTTTGTTGTAGCATTTAGGAGACCAGTAACATATACCACAATGATACGCCACTGTTTTTACAATATAATGACTTCAATAAAAAAATTCAAAGGATGACCAAACAAATATCGACCAATCCTCACCGAGAGTTAATTATGTAATTAGTATTTTAAATACTTATGTTATGTACAGGATATTAGGGAGGCGCTCCGAAGAGCTCCGCTCCTTAACGATGGGTCAGAAACAAATCGATTCCCACGAAAAAGATTCAGCTTCCCGATCAATCGTAATCGATATTTTTATGCAATTATCGTTTATCATGATGGGATGTGGATAAAACGTTGCAAAGCGGCTTTTCAGGGTCAGTACCTCAAAAGGAAAAAACGGAACCCTTATAGGATCACTTTGTTGTCCGTTTGTCTGTCTGTCCGTCTGTTAAGACATTTTATCTAGGAAATGCGTGGAGGTATCGAGTTGAAATTAAAAACATATACTCAGGTCCGCAGTCCCTTGAAGTTGTGAAAAAAATCGAACTTGTAAGTTAACCTTTAAAAAAAGATAGGGCCGCGTATACAGCTGAAAATGCATATTTTAACACTCAAGGGAATCGAAATTTAAAGGGTACTTTCCCTTTCCCCTTTCTAGGGAGCAGAGGGAACATGGGGATCCCACACGGGGGGGTCGTCTATTCGTCTGTAGATGGCCCGAGGTATGTCGGGGCACCAGGGACTTCCTTTCTAGGGTATACCTGATTCTCCGGCTATTAGTACCCGAGACGGCGTGCGGTTTTAGTCGGTTCGAGTCCGACATGCCACCGAAAGGTGGTATCCGAAGGGATTTCCGCACGGAAAAAAAAGGGTACTTTCCGTTGACCTGGATGGAACTATAAAATTTGGCAAGTAACATCGTCTTATACTACAAGAAAAAAAACTGAAAACTATCTCTACATTTGTAATTAAATCATAAAAAATATAGTCTTTATTTAAAGTACATAATCAATCATCGAGGTACAATTTCACTAATAAAACACAATAATAAAAGTAAGTATATGTTTTGGAAACTGAACTTCGGGAAAAGCTAACCTATTTATTATATGTAACTACAAAATTGTACGGAACCCTCGGTGGGCGTGTCCGACTTGCGGTATTTTACAATCATGTGCAAGACGAATGAAACAGACGGTGGTCTGTTTAAAAGTTGAAAATGGAAAATACTAGAACTTTTACAAGACCACAATGAAATAAAACTGTTATTTGTTAATACGTACTAATCAAAGTTAACTCTGAATCTTTGCATGTTTGATCGATCGACGCGAACTCATTGATCGATCAGTTGAACACGAACCTCCTTCCTTTTTTAAGTCAGCCAAAAATAGCAAAAATTTTACCTCAAAAATTAAAAATTCATGATTTTACTTTAATATTTGAATTGTCAAAACAAAACTTTTAAATAAGTTGTATTAGTAGTCGCATATTGACTTTTAACCCAGACTGATAACAGAAAGATAACGTACCTTCCTACATAGTGGTTCAGAGGATCGGTGTATATGGACGTAAACTAGTCAAAATGGTAGTTCCAATTACTATTTTAGAAGTTAATTCTTTAAGTGACGACAACTTTGAGGCCACTTTTGGTAATGTTATTGAACTGTGTTCTGGTGCCGCAGCTTATGTTAAAGATAAAAGACCTTTCAATAACGTAAGTGATCTTTGTAATGAGTTCCATACCTATTTAGAGCAGCTAAATGTTCAAGACCAAGTCGAAGTGTTGAAACTCCACCCTGATTTAGCTGGGAGCCTCGCTGCACGTGGTGAACTAACAAAAGAGTCTGCAGAAGAACAGCGGACAGCTGGTCTAGAACAACTAACACCACAGATGAAGAAGACCATGGATCAGTACAATCAGCGGTACAAAGAAAAATTTGGTTTCCCATTTATCATTTGTGCGAAAGAGAATAAAATCCAATCTATAATTAGCGGCTTGCAGAAGCGTTACAATAATTCATATGAACAAGAAATCAATACTGGAATAAACGAAGTGAAAAAAATATGCAAGCTTAGAATATTGGATATTGTAAAAAACTGATATATCTAATTAAAACAAACATTTACATTACACGTTAAATTTATTTAACGTATACCATGACCCACTTAACAGATAATTTGTAATAAAAATTAAAAAAAACCACCTACTACTTAATTGAAAAATTATTGAAAATATTGCTAAGCACAAAAAATGCAAACATTTGTACCGATTTAACTAAATTTTTATTTTACATGTTAATTGTAGTAGTCGCGGCCCAAGGGAAACGAGAGTAGTGGTTGATGCCATCAAGCAGTAACTTCTCGTAAAATTAAGAAAACAATACTTACGTATAGTTACATCCTGAAGTCTCTAGAAAAACTGAGATAGGCCACCTTTTTTTGTTTCTCGAAAGTTATTTCAAAAAGTATTGATTTTACAGAAAAATGTTAGTAGTAAAAGTTGTTCAGAAGACAATTTCACATATGGTTTTATTAATTATAAAATAAATGAAAAAAAAAAATGTTTTATTTTTGGCCCTGTGAAACCTGGAATTGGAGTTTGGGTTTTGTTTACTGTAATCCTGTAAACAAAACCCAAACTACGGTTAATTCTAAGATTACCTAGTAAAACCTAAGATTTACCAAGAAGATATGGTAAAAGTCCGAATTTCGAGCATTTACCACCATTCACTTGGTAAATCTTAAGATTTACTTGAAATACACGGTAAATGTCGGTAAACAGACATATTTCACCAACAATAGAAGAGATCTAGCGCTCGGGGCTCGGCTGCCGCGGTCCGCTTGGGTCATGGTTCCTTTTCTTTTGGACCCCTTCTAGCAACTGCCCGAATTAGTGCGGGCACCACCTTTAGGTACATTCTCTATTTAGGCGACGTTCATCACACGCGGAGGATGCCTTCTTGCAGCTAACCGTTATGGTGGGTGGAGAAGCAAAACCGTCCTGTTCACCAGCGGCCACAGTCAGGGCGGCATGAGGCGCTGGTAAGCGCGCCTCCACCGAACTGTTTGTCAGCAGCGAATTAGGTCCGAGTGGAAATCATCCTCCCGGGCCCTCTCCGCCGCAGAAGGAGGCGATCTTTGCAGAAGGATGTAAAACAACTGACACTACCGGCCATTGAGCGTATGAGGGCCGGTAGCGAGATATCACCTCCGATGACTGCAGTGTAGATCCGATGCTGGGACGCCCAAGCCGGGACTGAAGACGAGTGAGGACTCGGCTCAGCACACGGTGGCAATTTGCCAACGTGTGCTGAGCCGAGTCCTCACTGTAATCGCAGTGGTGACAGGCGGGACTCAATTCCCTCCTAGCGACCGAGTGCAGTTACTTCCCGAAGCAGCCGTGCCCGGAAAGGACCTGTGTCAGTAGGAAGGAAAGGGTCCCGTACTGCCGCTCTGCCAGCTCGACAATGACCAGCTGGCAAAACCAGCCGGGATAACTAACGAAACATCGTGGCTCGACGAGCGGCCTCAAGCCACTCGCGTACTTCTTCAGGTGGGGGCCGACTGCCGCTAACCGCCCGTAACTCAGTAGTCCGCCGATATACGGTGCTCGTCGAAGAACCGCCTCCCGTCGAGGACCGATACGAGGACCGAGTTGACAACGATTGCGGCACCAGGGAAAGGACCACGACGGGGCCTATAAAATAAGACGGCCTCCATTTTATCCAGAGCCACCCGTAAGCCCAGCGCCTCAATGGTGGTCAGGCGCACCGCCTCTTAAAAGTTCGCCCCTCGGACTGTAACCAAAGTTTCATCAAAGGCAGCCAGGAAGTCTCTTCAAAGGCTTTAGTCGTACCCTATGTTCTACAGAAGGGTTCCAAGAACAGACAGACCCTATGGAAAAATTCACGACCTGGGGCATCTTAGTCTCTGTACATGCAGGTACGCCCCGACGCAAATCCCGGTGATGTGACGGCCCGAGGTGGTTTTCACACGTAAAAAAAGGGTATTAAATGGCATTGGTTAGTAAGGGTGGCAAAAATTTAATAGCCTACGGGCGGCAAATATGTAAATCCGCAACTGGAATAAGCAATAACAAAAATAAAAAAATGTTCTACGACCAACAGGAGCGAAGATAGTTTTTTTTTTAAATTACGCATAGCTATCGCTGTGTTGTGTATTTTGACTTCGGACTGGGCTAGTTCTTTACTTCAATACTAACTTCACAATGAGATTTTTTTACGGCGTTCCTTTTGACACAATCGATATTCATAAACTACTCAAACTTACGCGCCAGCTGCGGCTACTGCGTGCTGCCGCCTCGCATGCGCAGTGGTAGCTATTGCCACCACACTTTGGACCCCAGAGTTAACAGGTAACCCGTCTGCTTATTCGTCTCCTATACCATAAAAATAAATTTAAAATTCTAAGCTAGGCAGTGCCTGCACTATGGTTACAAGGCTGCTGATAAACATATCTACAGATATATTGAACAAATGAGCATGTTTATCTAATTGTAATTAGTCCTGTCTTCGCATAGCAGACAGAATCCTTAAGCCCTAGACAAAAGGACCAGTCAAGTCAGTTAATAAATTGAGTCGTCTCATGAAACTCTATACAAATTATTTAACTCGTTTGAAAACATTTTTATATATATTTTTATGTGCCCGATCAACAGAATGTTACTTCAAAATTTTACCACAATAGATACTAAAGTCCTCAATATAAATCGGGTGTACAAATAAATGGAACAAATACTAAAATCGTAAAAAATTAAAGTATATTATTAAATAATTAGAATAAATTTTATATAAGGATAACTAATAATGACCCCGTAAGTTTTTTAGGTGTATCAAAAATGGATTGACTAAGTTCAAAATTAAAATTTAAACGCTCCAAGTCGAAAAGCTCACTAGCGAAATTATTAATTATGAACGAGTAACGTCAGTATCAACTGACATAATACTGACAGCGATTTTTTTCTGTAATTCTGTTTGCATCAACCGCCGTGGTGCGTGTTTTCTTATAAAATTCTTATTGGACAACGGTCTCATTGTTATTTTTCGTTAGTAATCATTTTTTCTTGAGGGCAAAATGTCGTGGCCTGAAGTAATAACTGCAAAATCAGAAAATCGTCATGAAATCAAATTGGCGGGTGCGGCTATATCGAAACGTATATTGGAAAATGGTTTAGACGGTGGTATATTCCAACTAACAAATATAAATCTCCTTAACATCAGTGATACTTGTTTAACTGCCATACCAGATAGTATAAGTTGTCTCGTAAATCTGCAGTCGTTATTATTATTCGGTAATAAAATAGCAGATTTTAACAAAAACATAACCTCATTGAAGAAGTTAAAAGTTCTCGACCTGTCGAGGAACCAGTTAAAAGCTATTCCAGAGAGCATTAATGATATGAAAGAATTGACAAATATTAATTTTAGTTCGAATGAAATAGAAGAAATGCCGAAACTCTTAGATTTTCCCAACCTCATTACTGTTGATGTGTCTAATAATAAACTCACGAGTTTCTTAGACGTAGAGGACGCTGTAATGCCACATTTAGTAGATTTAAAACTGAAAAGCAATGCCATAGATGTTTTACCCAACTACATAGCTCAAAGTCTTCCATCACTGAAAAACTTTGATATAGGTGATAACCAATTAAAGACAGTGCCTGGGGAAGTGGCTCTCTTGTCGAAATTAAAGGGTGAGTTGTTTTTTTTAACCTTTAAGTTATTCATTAGTACTTATAATTGATCATAATGTTGCAACAGGCTCGGTAATCTATGATGCAACAGATTAAAATGTTATGAAAGCAAGTGAAATTTTTATTTTGTTGAGTAACAAACACTTAGACATTGGATACTTTTTTAAAAGAATTAACTTCAATTTATTAGATGAGCCTTGTAGCAAAGTAGTCAATGTCAGCCAATTTTCTTGTCACTATAATGTTAAAAGTACACATGTCAAACAAATAAACAGTCCCTGTGATTTTATAAAGTATTACTATAGAAATTGAATCTTGAATACAAAATGGTATTGAAACATTAATAATTTGTAAAGTTATGAATAAAGAAACGAATTAGTTCTAATTTACACACATGTAAACATACAGTAACATGCTTACTCAAATAACACACAAATGTAAACCTTACCAAGTGCTTTTTAAACATTACTAATTGCCAAGATTGTTAACAACAAAAAAAAGAAGTACCCTCAATCTTAAAAAAAAAATTAAGTCTTGGATACATCAAATTTCTAAAATAACCTTCACCATAGTCCATGCCCTTATTAATATGTAGTAACATTATTTTCTTATTATTTCACAGAGATCAACCTAAAGGGTAACAAATTCACTGACAAAAGATTCATGAAACTCGTTGACCAATGCCGCACAAAGCAAATAGTAGACTATATACGGGATCACATTCCCAGAAGTGGTGAGGCGACACAACCTGCTGGTAAAACAAAGGGGAAAAAAGGCAAGAAAGAAGAACCACCTCCTGAAGACACAGAGACTGACCTCTGCCATGCATTGAAGATACTACACGTAGAAGATGATATATTAAGAGTAAAAATAGTAGAATCGCAAGTGGCATCAATTCGTCCATATATATTGTGCTGCATTGTAAATGACTTGTCTTTTGATGAGACATCTTTCAAGAAGTTTATTCAATTGCAAACAAAACTACATGACACAGTATGTGATAAGAGAAATGTTGCTACAATCGCTACACATGACCTTAATAAGATTGCTCCAGGTAATCCTAATTAACTAACACACTTGTAACTCATTGGTAGTTTATACCAATAGCTGACCTGTTCGTTCCGTTCTGACCACTGCGTTGAGCGTTCCACATGGTGATGGATTAAGAATACAGAGTATCACTACAACTAACAGAGTATCACTAATGGAGCAAACTACGCAGGACAACAACACTGCAAAGAGAAGGAAACCCTATACCGTGTAGTAGGCCAATATCTCCTTCCTAAGGAGAGGCCTATTTCCAGCAGTGTACTATTAATGGATGTTGATGATGATGATGAGCTGAACTGCCTCATCATTTGCCTGTCTATCATTAAAAATCAATGAGACTAAGGGTGTTATACATCCAGAAGAAAAAGCACTGCTCCTGAGACATATAAAAATAACCTTTAGATCATCATAAACTCCATATTTGTTTCAATATGACTCATACTTACTTCAGTAAACTTTATAAATTGTAGGTGACCTAATGTACACAGCCCAGGCTCCAGCTGCGCTAAAATTGACACCCTTGTCGAGGTTACGACCATATTCTGGCGAGCAACTATTCCAGCAGCTCACAGCTGAAGCTGAAGCTCTCCGCAAAGAGAAAAAGAGAAATGTCTACTCAGGGATACATAAGTAACTCCTTTTAACATAGATATTAAGATATAAGGCCTTGAATATTTTCACACCTGCAAGTGATTCTTCATTAATTAAATTCTTTAAAATACTTTCTCACAGCCTTAGGACAGACATCTGGCAGAAATTATTTCACATTAGCCTGGCGACGCGTCGCCATACCGCATTACATGTTACGTGTGCCACATAGTCTAACCCTCTGCATTAAATGTCATCATAGTTAATGATCATATTTTCCATCTTCTATCTTTCTGTCATATTTTATACTGAAATACTTGAAACTATTCCAAATACATTGCCATACAATTTCTTATATGTTTATAATATTTTCAGGTACTTATATCTACTGGAAGGGAAACCACTTTACCCATGTCTCACAGAATCCACTGGCAAAGTGATCAGTTTCCCGCCTATAACCAACTCAGAAGATACCAAGGTATGTAATTGTCTAAAAAATTACAGCTAAATGCATGACGGCCAAATTAAAAAAAAAATCTGCAAAACAACATTTATTTGGTGCAATAATGAAATATATCATGTAAGGGTATTTTGGCACTTAGTTCAGATGTTATCACAAATTAAACGTCATAGTTTATCTCTTATCGTTTAACGTGAATTTCGCATTAGAAGTACAACTAATAAAGAAAACACTCGCTGAATATAACACTAAATTAACTAAAACGACATAAGTATGAATCACTAGTGATAAATTTAGTTGAGTCAAGGCTATTTTAGTACCTAAAATACTACCCAAAAATCTTTTGCACTATCAGTCCAGTACAGTGAGTGGTGTTCAGCAGCATGAACACCATCTAAAGTAAAATAGCAAAGTAACTTATGTTGATGGCTATTTTAGAATTGGATGGAGAAATTCATCCTATAAGAAGATAGCCTAGTATAATTAATATAAAAAAATATTTCTTCTCTCCAGTGAAACGAAATCAAATGCCGATTGTTCAGCCAATGGACCAGTAATTTATCTAATGACGCGTAGTAAGGGACGTACTATCTCAAAACAATAGATTGATTCGACTAAAGTACTTACTAATTAATCTTCTCTTTTAAATTTTTGTTATTGAAACGTGTTTATTTAGTAAATTATTCTTCACTCAACTAATCTAAAAACTATTTTAGGTATTTTTATTATTATCTTTTCCTACTAGATGTCCCAACAAAGCAAAGCGATGCTGGTGGAGGTTACATCCCATGTATCACTTGGCGCCTGCAAGACCGTTATGAACAAGCTGCTTCAGGAGTGTCTGCTGCTGGGAATAGGTGCTCAGGAAGGAGACTCCTCACACCACTGTCTTACCGTGCAACAGGTAGATCTTATATATAAAATTCTCGTGTCACAATGTTCGTTCCCGTACTCCTCCGAAACGGCTTGACCGATTCTCATGAAATTTTGTGTGCACATCGGGTAGGTCTGAGAATCTTCCAACATCTATTTTTCATACCCCTAAATGGTAAGGGTGACCCATCCCTAATTTTTTTTTGTTTTGCAATACAACGTTTGCCGGGTCAGGTAGTAGTTTATAAAAGTAGTCTTCTCATAAGATTGAGGAAGAGGAATTTTCATTCCATGAACCAGCATCGGGCATTCAAATGTAATGTTACAGACCGCCGCTTTAATCCACTCTCATAGGGCCTAGTGTGAGGTTATTTCACATATACTCGATCGTCACGGTGACCACATTCAACGTTGTGATTAGCCCGCACTGAAACCTTCACCAACGCTGAACGTGCTCGTCGTCGAGGGTGAGTTGATATTTAAATAAACTCACACTGGGCCCCCAGTGCATGTATTTATATGTATAAAACAATATTATTATGACGGGCCTGTTGGTCTAGTGGGTAGCAATTCTAACTGCTAAGTCAGGGGTCGTAGGTTAGATTCCCAGTCAGGACAATTACTGTGTGATGAGCACGACTATTTATGCTGTGCCTGGGTGCAATTTGTTTATAATATGTATGTATTAAGAAATATAATATAAAATATAAAATTTTGTCATAAATAAAATATGTGCCCAGTTGACAACAATAGGTTACCCCGTATTACGTAAGTGGTACAAAATTGTAGTCGTCAAATTGAGAGCCTCTTAAACGCTTCTGCTTACCGTTTCATTGATAAAAACGTGAATGTATGTATGTATTATTATTACAGACATAAATATACGTTAAAAAAAAAGTTCTCTTTCTAAGAGGTTCATTAATTTCTAATATTTTACTTTCTAGGTTAAGGTAGTAGACCTCGAGGGGAACTTGAAGAATGTATACCCATCAAGAACTGACTGCGTGTATGAAGTAAACAACATCAAGGTATTGCGGAACATTAAAAAGTAACACTTTTCTACTCGTTTAGAGTAAAAGCAAAGGTTTATTGTGACTCTGTCCATAATCTGATCTGTGTCTTATGTAGTGAGCTATTCTTATATAAAAGTCTATTAAAACATTCACAGAAATAATATTGGCCATTAAATGAGTATCAAAGCCATTATTGTTGTCAGTAGGCCAATTTACTAATGAAACTAAGAACAATCTTAACTTCTTTTTTGTACAAGAATTTGTGTTTATTGTAATTTACAATTGTAATATTTTTGTAAACAAATGTCAATGCCGAAAGTTTTTCTTTGTCAACAATCAGCTACACAATAATTCTTTAGTTTTTTGTGTAGTTTATGTTTTTATTTCATCATATCAACAAGAAGGCTTTCGGAATTAAATTCCAAATGCACGAAATATATGGTGTGCATTCTGAATATTATCTTTGTTTTTTGCAAGTATTGATGCTTATGCGTTTAAACATAAAGCTACAGTCTTTTTACTATTGTGTGTTTTTAATTAGTTCTTTTTGTGTTGTTTTACGAATGTGTGTTGCTTATTCTAGTTGCTCATGTTGGAAAGTAATACTTGCATAAGTTTTTGGACATATGACTTATAATAAATCCGTCTGCCAGTTTAGCATACAATATTAATTACACAGTTTACCAAGTTAATTTGGTTAGACGACACGATTTTTAGTGAATTAAAATTCGTGTGCTTATGTTTGTTACCAAACAAAAATCAATATATTTGCAGGTTTGTACAAAAATATTCCTTTATAAAATAATATTATATGTTGATATATTGTGGTGACTCTGTTTATTTTATTTTTTAATATTATTTCATTGTTCTCATATAGTCATCTATACCATCGTTGATAGATAATTGACCTAAAATACTATTAATATTTAAATCAAGCGCGTGACATTATGACGAGGATTTAAATAATTTTAGTTTATTTTAGTAGATTAAATATGTTTTTGTGTTGCGAACAATTGACTTGAAAGTAGAAAGAATCACCCATGTATGACATCCACCATATGACATCCACCATTACAAAATATGAGTGCCCAGTAATAACATTTCGGACTTGTACATTTTGCTAATGAATGCTTTAATTAAGTTATAAAATTGTCTGTGATGATCATATATTAGTATTAAATACCTAATGTGACACATATATGTAACAAATATAACTTTAAAAGTAAGAAAAAGTTTTTGTTAAATGTTTTCTTTTCAATAAAAGTATTTTTGTAACCTGTACCTGTGTATTTTATATTCTTCACATTGTGTTGTCACTCAAATAAAAAACAATGGAAATATAATACCTCTATATATTTTTTAGAATACATAACTTTTTTATTTACAATACATACATTTAAGTTACAATTATATTTTTTTTTTTTTTAAGTCAGATCATATAACTCGCCCCGCGTCGCTCCCGGTGCAAAGGTGCCCATGATACTGGCAGCATTGCCTCGCTGAATTGCAACGGACATTCTTTGCACCAGAAACGAGCCAGAGCGGGAGTCACCCTCTATATTAGTAGAAATTATGGACTTTAATATCTAATGCAACTGACCACATCATACCTAACGCAGGGACACCAATTTTGTTAAAATAGTAAAGTTCTAATAGGCTTATTAAATTTATGAATGTAAAGATAAAGTAACTACTAATAAGATTAATAAGGCAGTCGGTAAATATTAGTTCAGTTTTAATTTTATACTTTAAAATTTAATATTTTTTATACGTTCATGTACGAATACTTGCGTCACTAAGTCAGCACAAAAACTAAGCGAACAGTTTTATATTTAACTTAACTATTACTAGCAACAGTTATTAAATGGAGTAAAGGTGCAAATCCACCAAGTATAAGTTCTTGCTACCTATGGACCTACTTCATCAATCAAGGAGCACGCTGTTTTAGTACCTCCAACTGTACGCTGTTTATGCTTAATAAATCTTGACAAACTTATCCTTGAATTATTTCAATTTATCGTATTTAAGTACCATACAACAATGGGTTGATAGCCGAAACGAGTTATAATCACATCATACATTGCCGAGTTTAAGGCTACGGCGTAAGCCGCCTGCAATCGTAATAGTTCTATTCTCTTACAAATGCCGACCAAGGGTGTGTAGGCAATACTTCTTTAGTCTAGTCTTAAAACTGTTGATCGAAAGATAAGTGGTCTAATTGGAGGACTGCCTTTAGCCTTGTACACTTTGAAATAGTTCTTCAAATTGGACTTTATTTAAGCAAACGTTTTGAAAATATTTCGGGATCTAACGAATAATTTATTTGCCTCGCCCAATCAATCTATTGAATAAATTGTTGCCTTTGGTATTTTCGAATCAATCCGACCTTCAAGTACAGAGCGTACCTACTCCTACCCTACCTGCCGGCAACGTGTTTGTTGTATAATAATGACGGTTTTGAAAAAAATACGAAATTCAGTTTTTACCATATTTGGCTACTACATTGTCTAAATATTATTACTACATTCAAAATAAAAATATATGTATTTTAGATTTTAAATTATTCAGTGTTTATTTGATAGGCACTCAAAGTAAAATGAAGCATGTGATTTTTATAGAAAATTGTGTAATTATTAGTTGTTACTTTTGTTGCATCTTAAAACAAACCCTATATTTTAATTTATGCCAATTTTCATAATTACATATTTAATATTAAAAAAGTTATGTCAAAAAAAAACAACAAAATTATTTGAAATGACTGCCCAGTAAAGTTAAATAAATGACAGATCCGACACTATTCTACGCTCATTCTACGACTATGACGTTATGACTATAGATGTGAGACTGGCTTAAAACCAATTAAACCTTAAACCGATCCGTTTAAAACGGCGCGACGACCTTGAAGATGAACGTTCTCTCTTTCATGCGCAAGTAAAATGGTCGGCATTGTGTTTATGATGTCTTCTAATTTAGTGTGTGTAATATAATATTATAAATAGGTATGGTAGGTAGGTATTCGACTGCACGGATGGCGTAGTGGTTTAAACGGTCGCCACGCCGCTCACTACTGCCTACTATCCCCGCATGGGACGACACTATGTGATCCACAAATTGATGTTCTGAGTCTGGGTGTTCTTGGTGTCCATTTCATGTATGTTTGTAAAGTCCCCCGCGACATAGGATTTATTCCTAATGCGGGCTAATTCTTTTATACGAGAAAAGAAAAGGTAGGTATACCTACATACTTAAGTTTTCGTGTAGTAGGTAATGTGGGTAGGTACATTCTATTGATTATCTGTAAATTAATTAAAACGAAACGACGTCAGGTGATTAAAAATTGCCCACCATGAAGTGTAAAACACAGTTCTTTTATTTTTGAAAGCGAGTTTTCAACCGTATAAAACGATTTATTTGGGATTTAAAACGGCAACACTTTGCTTAAAACGTTTTAAATCGGTTGTTTTACATCTATAGTTATGACTCCTAACTTCATGGGCTAATTCAGATTTTTCGCCCTATATTTAAAAAAAAACACCGACGATCAATACCTTTTTCCTATCATAAAATTTTCGCCCAATTCTGGATATAACTGAAAACCAGTGATATCAAAACTTGTTGCTCCTGAGTTGCAAGTATCCGGGTGGCTATAGTTATCTACATAGTGATATAACCATAGAGAGAACAAGGGGTACAGCTGCCTGCCTACAGGGTAAAGCGATACAGTCAACGAGAGAGATGGATGCCCGATATTTCCCTCTGTCTCGGTTTAGCTAAGCTGTGATTAGCTACTTGTTAACTGCTCATATTCCCCAGCCAACCACAGAGCTCGGCTAGAAAGAGATAGAGGGGACCATCTATTATCCATCTCTCTCGTTGCCTACATTGCAAGATTGGGGCTCTTGTTCCCTTTAGGTTATATCTCTATGATTATTTACATCAGGTGATCCGTCCGTCTACTTGTATACCTGTTAGACCATTAAAAAATCTTATTAAATTTTATATGATAGCACCCTCACTAAACAAACAACAAAACATAAACCTTACTTATAATATAAAAGTAAGTTTGTTTGATTGTTTATTACGCTTAAACCAGTATAACGATTTTAATTTGTTTTTAACCAATGGACATGCTACATTATCGACGAGTTTTCATAAAACATGATATTATCAGCGATACATAATTAGTTGCAACACTGAATGTATTTTTTTAATGTTTCTAGTCTGTATTACAGAAGAAAAACATACAGACTATGTTTTTTTTCTAAATGTCAAAGTTTTAAATTTAACTTGACTTGTACTATATTTTGTTTCTTTGTGTATAACTTTAGTGATTTTATTTATTATAATTATAGTCTAAAACAAACGTCTAATGCGGAGGAGTTTAGCGCCGAGCCAGGTTGGCTCCGGCGAAAATGTCTTCAAAAGTCCTCTGCTCAACTCGAAACGAAAAAAGCGCGAATGTTCAAGGATACCATTGGCACAGAAATCTCCCAGTCAAGTAATGTCAGCCTCAGAACACGAGAATTTAATCAAACACATACTAAACAAACCCTTCAAAGTACCTATTCCAAATTATGTTTCGTCTTATTGTGGCAAAAGTTTAGGGCTTAAGAGAACACAAGTAAGACGCGCTCTCCATGATCCCGATGAACCTAATGCTTTAGTGTTATATCGTCCACCGTATCTTCCTGAGCACGAAAGGATGAAAATGAATGTAAACGACATTAAAGTAGCTGTAGTAGTCGACCCTGTACTTGGAAATATTTTACGACCTCATCAAAGAGACGGCGTGAAGTTTATGTACGATTGTGTTACAGGCCAGCAGATTGAGAATGCATATGGCTGTATCATGGCCGATGAAATGGGATTAGGGAAAACCTTACAATGTATCACTTTATTGTGGACTCTCTTAAGACAAGGGCCTGACTGCAAACCAACTATCTGCAAAGCAATTATTGTATGTCCAAGTAGTTTAGTAAAAAATTGGTATAATGAAATACATAAATGGTTAGGGCAGAGAATAAATGCATTAGCCATGGATGGGGGTTCAAAAGCTGATATAACCTTGAAACTTCAACAATACATGAACACATTTACTACCACCCGAGTTGCTACCCCAGTGCTAATCATCTCTTATGAAACATTCAGGATTTATTCTAACATTTTACATTCATCAGAAGTTGGGCTGGTTTTGTGTGATGAAGGACACAGATTGAAAAACAGTGAAAACCAAACATACCAAGCATTGATGGGTTTAAAAGCTAAGAGAAGGATTTTAATATCAGGAACTCCTATACAGAATGATTTAACTGAATATTTCAGTTTGGTACATTTTGTCAATGAAGGTATACTTGGTACAGCTCAAGAATTTAAGAAAAGATATGAAAATGCAATACTTAGAGGCCAGGATGCCTTGGCAACAGCACAAGAAAGAGAAAGGGCACAGGAATGTCTCCAAACCTTAACATCGATAGTGAATAAGTGTATGATTCGTAGAACAAGCAGTTTACTCACAAAATATTTGCCCGTTAAGTTTGAGCAAGTCATATGTGTAAAGATGACACCGCTTCAAACGCAAATATACAAAAACTTTATAAATTCTGATGCTATTCGAAATAAATTTTCTGGTACTGGTGATAAGAATACACTGAGTGCCTTATCAAGTATTACTACTTTAAAGAAACTTTGTAATCACCCAGATTTAGTATATGATAAGATTGTAGAAAGATCAGAAGGGTTTGAAAAAGCAATGAGTTTATTACCTGGCAATTATGACCCCAAAGATGTCAAACCAGAATTATCTGGCAAACTAATGATTTTAGATTGTATGCTGGCTAATTTAAAAACTAATACTGATGACAAAATTGTACTAGTATCAAACTACACACAAACATTAGATTTATTTGAGAAATTATGTAGAAAGAGATGTTACCAGTATGTAAGACTTGATGGATCTATGACAATAAAAAAGAGAGCTAAAGTTGTTGAAAGTTTTAATAATAAGGAATCAAAGGAATGGATATTTATGTTAAGTTCAAAGGCAGGTGGCTGCGGATTGAATCTCATTGGTGCAAATAGACTAATCATGTTTGACCCTGATTGGAATCCAGCAAACGATGACCAGGCTATGGCAAGAGTGTGGCGCGATGGACAAAAAAAGCCTTGTTATATTTACAGACTTCTTGCAACAGGTACTATTGAAGAAAAGATATTCCAAAGACAGGCGCACAAAAAAGCACTCAGTGATACAGTTGTTGATCAGAATGAGGAATCTCTCAGGCATTTTACTTCAGATGATCTAAAAGATCTGTTTAGGCTAGAAGAAAACACATTGTCAGATACTCACAGTAAATTTAAATGCAGAAGGTGTGTTAACAATATACAAGTGACTTTGCCTCCAGAAAATTCTGACTGTACCTCAGATTTGTCAAACTGGTATCATTGTGCAGACAAGAAAAATTTAGCAGATTTAGTTCTAAAGCAGTGTTGGGATTTGGCAAAGTCTATTTCTTTTGTGTTTCATCATAGGTCTGCACAGACAGAAGCCAAGACCACTTCTGAAGAAGAAAAGGAAAATATTCCAGATTCAAAACCAAAAAGAATGAAAATTGAGATTGATGAAGATTATTCAGAGCCTGATGATAGTGCTGATGAAGATTATGAATAATAAATATTGGAAAGTTACTTTTTTGTCAGTTTGCATTTTTTGTTGATTGTAAATATATATATATTTTTTAGTTTAAGCAGCTAGATTATGGAAAATATAATGTTTGTTAAAAAGAGTTAGTTTGATTAATAACTAATTTATTTTCATAGAATTTTATTTCATTCAATAAATATAACAGTAAATAAAAAACATTATTCTTATATATTTAAAAAATGTTAAATCTCTTCTATACCCAAAAACATTATTTATAATTAGAAAATAAAAACAGTATTCTTATACAACTTATTGATATGAATATGTTATAATTATATGTATATATAATTTCTAGGTAAAGTGCTACATAAAGTATTTGCATTTAACTTGAACAGCTTAGCTTTAAGCCATATGACCAGCTAGGCGGTTGCGCCGAATAGCCTCTCTTCTCTGCTTCTTCATTAACGTCATATGGTTTTTTGAACAGCGTCAATAAGAATCTCACCTGGAAAAGTACCGTAATTTAGTATATCAAGTTGTATTTTTTTTTTACTTTTTTTAACCGACTACAAAAATGAGGTTATCAATTCGGATGTTTATATTTTTCTGTGTACTCGGGCATAAATTCGTCATACGTAGACAGATTTGCAAAATAATATTTTGCTCGAAAGGGGTTTAATCCGAAACGCGGTCCCATTTTAATTTCGTATAGATCTGATAATGAGTTTCGGAGACAGAAAACGGAACTCTTAAAAAAAATCAGCCAAATAAACAGCAATTGCTGCTATATTTTTTAGTGCTGGATTAGTGCTCTTTGTTACTATTGTTAAAAATCTGTTCAACTTATTTTCAAAAAGGATTTATTATTAGATAATTACTTGCACATAAATACATATATATGTATACATATATTGGTTCAAAAGGTTTTCTATTCATAAGAATATTTAAAGAAAACTACGTCATTCTATTCTTTAGACCATGAACACAAACCTTTTCGAAGTCATTTTTTTCCGCATCATTTATTGCTTCTTGTAATATCCAGTTCCTTGGCACATACACCGGGTTCACTTTAATCATACGAGCTCGTCTATCCTCTTCACTCACTGCAATCAAATACACGTAACATACTTTGTTTTTCAAAGCAGAATCTCTACCGAATTAAATTTTAGGCAGAAATATTCGTTGTAAATAAATAAAGTAATATTGGTAACTACGAGGACAATAGCCGAATGAATGATACAACAATTAAATAGATTATCCATACTACTTTATAATATTAGTAAATGTAGATAAATCTTTCTTTGTACCTTGAGAAGTTTTTAAACTTCTTTATTGTATGAATAGTGGTTTAGGGGTGAATATATAACTCATATAAATATGTTGTATCTATTTAAAGTTAGAGTAGTAGCAGGATAGTAATTTTTGATAAGGTCGAATAATCTTACCATTCTCATCTTTTAATCGGTCTTGATATTTCTTTACCCATTTGTCCCAGTTAGGTGTATCTATAAACTTGCTGAGAGCCCACTTTGTTTCTAGAACAGCCTTATCCAATAGTTCCTGGGGATTAACCTGTTTATAAATAAAAATATTAACAAAATAGAAGTACACCGGCAGCAGTCCATTTCCGTGACTACAAAGTGTCAAGAAGACAAGAGACACAGTGTCGCCTCGCTTTGCGGTGCGATTCGTGTATGTTGCAATTTCCAGCAAATATTTTGCCGAGGTGAGATTTCTTAATTTCTGTTTGGTCTGTTTCTCCTTGTGTTCCAGGGATTACTATATACTGTGGAGAAAATGCTAAGAAGAGGGTTCGCTGTCTCAATTTATTTTCATTAATCGTATTACGTAACAAAAAGGCTAAACATAAGTACAACCAATAACACTAAGAAGAGTCGCACATCAAACCTTTTGTGCGACACACGGTTATTTATTCAGCAGTAGAATAACATATTAGCCATCCATTTTTAATTAAAGTAAAGCATGTCATTCAATTCGTCCGTGTGGTGACGGATTTAGAATACAAATTGTCGCCACCCCAATTCATCCCGTGGGTGTCGTAAGAGCCGACTAAGGGAGCAAATTAAGCAGGACAACAGAACTGCAAAGAGAAGGAAAACTTGAAACAAACCCTTTTTTCTTTTTTTTTTTTTAACGTGTGGAAATCCCCTCGGACCGTCACCCCTTCGGGGTTTACGGCGGGGTGGTGTGTCGGACTCGGACCGACTAAAACCACACGGTGTGCCACTCTGCGCCTGTAACAGGAGGGATCCGGGAACAGCTGTTGTTAAGACATCCGGACCCCACCTAGCGCCAGCCCGCTCCTGGTGCGGGCTCCGTCTCAATATATTTTCCTCTCTTTAGGCGACGTCCGGCACACGCGGACGCCGCCCCCTCGCGGCTGGCCAAACTAATGCGGGTGGAGGGGAAACCCACCCCGTCCACCCGCGGCCACACTCAGGGCGGCATGAGGCGGTGATAGGCGGGCCTCAGCCGCCCGGTTCGCCGGCGGCGGATCGGGTCCGAGTGGAGGTCGTCCTCCCGGGCCCTCTCCGCCGCCTCCTTCCGCGAGATTACTACCTCGCAGAAGGTTGCGACCGCGGTAAAACAACTGTCGCTACCGGCCATGGAGCGTACTACGGCCGGTAGCGAGAGATCCACTCCTATGACTGCAGTGAGGGCCCGGCGCTGCGCCGCCCATGCGGGGCAGACCGCCAGCGTGTGCTGGGCCGAGTCCTCACTGCAGTCGCAGTGGTGGCAGGCGGGACTCAGTTCCCTCCTAGCCACCGAGTGCAGGTACTTTCCGAAGCAACCGTGCCCGGAAAGCACCTGCGTTAGCCGGAAGGAAAGGGTCCCGTGCTGCCGCCCTGCCCACTCGGCGATGACCGGCTGGAGAGCCTCCACGGCGGCGAAGCCAGCGCGTGGAGTCTCCAGCCGGAACGACCATCGAGCCATCGTGGCTCGGCGAGCGGCTTCGCGCCACTCGCGCACATCCTCGGGCGGAGGGCGAAATCCGCTCTACGCCCGGGAGTCAGCCACTCGCCGATAAACTTCGGCGAGCACTTCCGCCTCCAAATCCCACGGGGGAGTTCCGGCCAACGCGCATGCCACCTCCGTCGAAACGGTGCGGTAACCGCGTATGGCTCTGACCGCCATTACCCTCTGAGGGCGCCAGAGGCGTACCCTATTCTGGGCGGTCAGAGCCGCCGCCCACACCGGTGCACCGTACAGTGCCATTGACCGGACAACCCCCGTGTACAGCCGTCTTGTCGCGACGCTGGGTCCACCCATATTGGGCAAAAGTCGCCCTAGGGCAGACGCAGCGCCGACCAGCTTTGGAGCAAGCTGTCGGAAGTGCTCGTCGAAGAGCCACCTCCCGTCGAGGATCAGGCCCAGATATTTCATCTGGGCCCGAACCGGTACGAGGACCGAGTTGACCACGATTGAGGCGCCAGGGGGTGGACCACGACGGGGCCCATGAAATAACAGGGCCTCCGTCTTATCTAGGGCCACCCGTAAGCCCAGCGCCTCAATGCGCCCGACCACCAGGGAGACCCCCTGTGGCCAGGCGCGCCGCCTCTTGGAAGTTTGCCCCCCGGGCTGTCACCAGGGTATCGTCTGCGTAACAGATTACACCCAGCCCGGGGGGGAAATCGGCGCGAAGGGCCCAGTCGTACCCTATGTTCCACAAGAGGGGTCCAAGAACAGACCCCTGTGGAACACCGCACGACATGGGCCGACTCCTCAAATTACCTTCTCGGTCCTCGTACACGACGGTACGCTCCTCTAAATAGTCTGCCACCAGCCGCCTCAGGTACTTTGGCACCCCATGATAGTGGAGTGCTTCCCTGATGCAGCTGAATGGCAGACTATTGAATGCGTTGGCGATGTCTAATGACACCGCCAACACACCGAGGAGGCCGTGAGCTGTGGCCGCACGCCGCCACAGCTCACGGCCTCCTCGGTCACGGCCCTCAGGCGCAACACGGCGTCGACTGTCGAACGCCCCGCCCGAAAACCAAATTGGGCGTCCGACAGATCGGGGCCATCCTCGCATATGTGCCGGACGATGCGGGCAGAAAGAACCCTCTCAAACAATTTGCCCGCCTCGTCCAGCAGCACGATGGGCCTATAGGCCGCGACCGAATCGGCAGGCCATCCCGGCTTCCTCAATAGGACCAGCTTCCCGCTCTTCCAGCACTCAGGGAAGCGTCCCGACGCCAAGCTAGCGTCGAACACCTCCCCGAGGCGGTCTGCCATGTGGTTGAGGGCCAGGGCCAGCACTCGGGGCGACCCCAGGGGTCACGATTAAGACCCTCCAGCATCTCCTGTCTTTTTTCTTCTTTGGCGCGGCTAATGGCCAGCTTCAGAGTTTTCCGCGCCTGTCGGTACTCCTCATGAAGCCGGTCCTCCTCACCGTCTCCACGGTGACGCCGCCGACTGCGCGTGTAGGACCTCCGGGCACGTGTACAGGCCGCACGGAGGTCCGCCAGCTCCTGGGACCACCAGTAGACCTCCTTCCTTGGAGGCCGACGACCTCGAATGCGGGGCATGGCCGCATCGCATACATGCGTAATCGCATCGCGAAAGCGACCAGCCCCCACGTCGACCTCCTCGGTCGGAGCCTGAGGAGACAGCCACGAGTGAATTATGGCTGCCTCCTCTAGTAGGTCCCGGTTCAGTCTGGCAAACCCTATACCAACCCGTCTGGCCAGCGTGGTATAGTAGGCTAGAACCTCCTCTCTAAGGAGAGGCTTATGTCCAGCAGTGGACTAGTATAGGCTGTTGATGTGATGTCATTCAAGGTTATGTCCCGTGTGACAATGATAATTATATGTCCCGTTTATTGTGTTGGTATACAGAGAGAAATAATTGCTTTTGACTTTCTACTATTTTTACCTCAGTGAGTTGCCTGAATGTGCCTGTAAAGTCCGCCATTTTTAACTGCATAACTTGAAATAGATCTTCAACTAGTTTTTCGTCACCATCCTTTATTTCTTCAAATCCGAGTTTTAGTAGATGAGTTTGCCTAAAATTCCATTAACAAATTAAATCCCACTGTAATTCACGAAACTACAATTGATAATAATATACTTCTTAGTCAATTGACTTCGGTTTTAGATATATAAAAAATATAGAAGTAGGTACTAATTATTTCTTTTACAAACAGGCGATCACTGTTTAAAATAAATACATTTGATAAAAAATACGTACAACACTTTTCTTTTGACATATTCATCGAGTGTGCTTCTAACGTATTTAATCTTTTCCTTTTGATCTTCGGACAGAATCGGCTCTAGAGCTTCGGCAAATTTCTCCAAATTCCATAAAAGTATCTGCAAAAAACGCGTTATAAATATATTTCCCGAGATAAAAACAAATTGGACGAGTAGATCATGGTACGCTTTATTTAAGCGAGTTTTTAATTAATAACATTATCATATTAAAGCTACTAAATTTGTTGAACAACCAGTAAAAATTAATAAAAATAAAACAGTTCAGAAGCAGAGGAAACATTACTGCAGAACTGTTTTGTCATTGTTTGAAGATAATATAATAAACACAGTACATATTATAATTTTTCCACATTTGCAATGTGTGTAGAAATAGTTATTACAATTAAAATTTCTGCTTATAAAGAAACAATTTAAAGAACTCACCTCAGGCTGTTTATTGAATGCATACCGACCTAGATCATCAGAAGTATTGGGAACGTAGTGGTGATAATAATGATCTAGGAACCCATACGGGCCGTAGTCTATCGTCACACCAAGGAGGCTTATGTTATCGGTGTTCAATACACCATGTGTGAAGCCAAGACCTGGAATAGGTTTAAGAATGAAAAGTAATGAAGTAAACATACATCATTCAAGTCCTATACCTCTCCATTTTTATGTGCTCTTATTTCGTGTTTTTAAAAAGCGTTGACGAATTAGTCAGTGTAAATAATTTTACATGTATAGATGTCTGTTAAATATTTTGATGTTCTTGACCAAAAGATTACCTTGCCACGTTGCAACCATATCCAAGTTTCTGTGGGCCACTTCCATGTACCAGTCCACATACTTGTCGTTAGAATTATCTAGCGCCGGGAAATGGTGCTAAAATTTTTAATAATAATTTAAAATTAATCATATTTCATAATTTAGGTTGTTCATATTGCACTTTGAGTTGAAAAGCTATAAATTTTAGGAGCGTTATGTGCAATAAAAAAACTTAAATTACAAAAATCGATTTGGCAGTAAAAATAACTTGTTTTATTTTTGCAAATGGAAATGGCCTATTGCGATTTTTTGACAATGAAAAATGAAGTCTGTGCACTAGTACTAGACGCACCTAGTATATTAATAAAGGAATAAAAACTTTTACACACTTATCAAAGTGTATACTATTAAAATAACAAATCAGGTCGACGTCGAACTCCACTCGTGCGCAAACGTCATTCCTAAGCTTACGGACTCTACGGTCGACAATGTTCAGAGCTTTAAACTGGTATTTAGCTAAATCATCTCAAAGGTGAGGTGTATCGAAACTCTATACGAGGGGTGATCAATAAGTAATGATAATCAATATGAAACAGAACTATTAGATTAAAAAAAGTATTTTATTTTTCAACATAGTCTCCTTGCAAGTTAATACATTTAGTGTATCTTTTTTCTAAGCCCATGATTCCCTTAGAAAAAAATTATTTGTCTTGACCCTCCCAAAATGCCTCTACTGCGGCCATCACTTCACTATTGTCCTCAAATTTGTTGCCCCGGAGGTGTTCTTTGAGCCGAGGAAAGAGGTAGAAGTCACTGGGAGCTAGATCTGGCGAATAGGGAGGGTGTTCGAGCAGTTCGAACCCCGTTTCTTCAATGGCAGCCATCGCAACTGCGGCTTTGTGAGCCGGGGCGTTGTCTTGGTGAAACAGCACTCCAGCGCGCAGTTTACCGCGTCTTTTTGACTTAATAGCTTCTCGCAATCTTCTTATTTGGCCTGCGTAGTAAGAGCCTGTTATAGTGGCCCCCTTTTCCAAATATTCCACCATAATAATTCCTTCTGCATCCCAGAAAACAGACGCCATAACCTTTCCCGCTGAACTTGACACTTTGAATTTCTTCGGCGTTGGTGAGGAAGCTCGTTTCCAAGTCATTGATTGTTGTTTGGTTTCGGGATCAAAGTGGTGGATCCAGGTCTCGTCCATGGTCACAAAACGCGACAAAAAAAATTCTTTATCGGCCTGGAACTTTTGAAGATTCACCCTCGAAATGTCGACTCGTTTCTTTTTTTGCTCGTCGGTTAACATTCTCGGTACCCAACGCGCAGAGACCTTTTTCATATGCATTTTGTTGACAATGATTTTTTGAACGCTGCCATAGGAGATCCCTGTGACCTCAGCTACATGCCTTACGGTCACCCTTCGATCGGCCAACACGATATCTTCCACTTTTTTGACGTTTTCTCCAGTAAGGGACGTGGAAGGGCGTCCCTCGCGATGTTCATCTTCAGTGGAGGTTCTGCCCAGCTTAAATTCCTTTGCCCAGCGTGCGACTGTGGAATATGGAGGAGCAGACTCCCCCAATGTTTCCTCTAAGTCGCTGTGTATGTCTTTGGTAGACATTTTTTTCAGGCAGAGGTACTTGATGACAGCTCTTATTTCATTTTTCTCCATTTTGATGTTTTCTCTTCGACAGTTCGTATTCAAATGAATGTATCTCCCGGTAATGGTGTCCTATTTATACATTTTTTTGAAGCTGAAGTAGTGGATATATAAGCAAGCAGAAAAAAAATAATTTGGGTTTTTGTGCGTTCTAGAAATATTCGATTATCATTACTTATTGATCACCCCTCGTATGATTAATGCAAAATCGAACTTGGGCTGGATAGAGACATTAAGTAGCTGATCAGATCTGAAGCTCCGAAGCGTATTCGACTATATTAGCTGATTAACATTATGAAGTTTTATATACAAGTTCAATAAAGAGGTAGCTACAGATGAATAGTGACCACACATCAAACCAATCACGGCAAGTATATGTATATATTTACAGCAATATTTCATTTTATAAAAAACAATAATGAATTACCTTTATAATGAAGTCGACTAAAAGTTTCAAAGTATGAGGTTCCTTTCGCTTGACCAGTATCTCTAAAGAGCCGATGCGATACCACGCGTTGGCAACACGCATCACGATCGCCGTTTTCTCCTGTCTAGCGTTTCCACTATAAGTCTTATCGCGCCATACCTTATGATCTTCGCTCACTAAAATAATAATAAATACACTTGACAGGGGACGGCTTACTCAAAGAATAGTATGACTGAGCACGTGACTAAACAAAAACCTTTTGATGGTATTCATTAGACTGTGGTCTTCGTTATCCTTTTGATTTATTGTATGCCATTACCAGATATGTAACAAATTAATGTTTATGTTACAAAACAGTAACAGTTTTGGAAGAACGTGCATTAAGAAAAGCTCTGCTTCCACACATATGGGCGAGCTCGACAGGAGTGATACCGCGGCTTTACGGAAAACCAGTGATAAGCAATTGTTTCGTGGATTTTCATCGAGTGAGTGCAGTTAAAAAAGAACCAACGTTCCCGCCCTTTTAGAATTAGGGAGGGGGTCTCCCTAATTCTTAAATAGCGAGAACGCACTTCTATCACCTGACGCCCGTCTGTTCATTTGTTCCGTAATACCACACCAAAGAAATCGTATTCAAAAGGTTATCATAAGAAAGGACTCTAGGATATCACTTATTTAATTATTGATTTTCGTCTTACCCACCAATGCAGCTGCTCTTGTAGTCGGTATGCCAAGATAATGGCAGGCTTCAGAAGCAATCATCTCTCTGATAGACGATCGTAACACAGCGCGGCCGTCACCGAAACGGGAGTAAGGCGTCTCACCAGAGCCTTTGAGTTGTGGTTGCCAGGATTCTCCTTTACTGTATTAAACATTGTTAATTTATAGAATACTAGCCTGCGGCTTCGCTCGCGTAGATATTTCTTAGTATTCCATACAACCGATCATCCCTTATTTTACCCCTTAGGTGTAAAATTTAAAACAATCCTTTCTTGGTGGGTGCTGTAAGCACATTTAACATAAAAGTCTCAGCTGTCAAAATTTCAAGTTTGTAGCCCCAGTGTTGATGAATTAGTCACTCAGGGCAAGTAATTTTAAGTGTAGATTTTATAAATTCTGTGAATTGTGACAAGTACAAACAGCAATACAAATGAATGTATATAAAAGTTACACTTTGTTTTTTGTATTTGATATGTTGCCACACTTAGGATAATTTTCAACCAGCAAAAAGATATTGTTCCCCGTTGAATGTTTAATATATGTACAAATTACTATCTGCTTTGAGGAATATTAATTACAGTATACACAGTAACAGGTAAACAGCATTTATGAACTTGTAGGCTGAAAAGATTTTTTTATTAAAAAAAAAAATAAAGATGTTTTATATTTAAAACAGAAGGAATTTTTAATGATGTTTATAACACTGAATTGCTGATATAATGTAATGAGAAAAAAAATCACCTGTTAATATATTCACCAAGAATATGAGCTCTACCATCACCAAGTTGATCAGCCCAAAAACCAAACTGGTATCCGCCATATCTAAAAAATTCCAATTTTTACGTTGAAATCACAAGTGTTATTTATTTGCAATTTGTGTAAATTTTTGTTCAATTTACCTATGAGAAACACTTAGTCCTCCAGGAGGCAAGTATCTGCCAGATACAAAGTTAATAAACTCCTCAGTTTCAGCCACAGAAGGATCCAGGTCGAGTAGGTCTATTAAAGCATCATCTGATGCACACACAAGATGGACTTTCCCAGATAGAGGCTCAGTTGGCACCTGCAATAATTTGATTTTTGGGGATATAACAAGTCTAACATGACATAATTTTTTTATCCATTTTATACTACCAGTTTCCTGCAGTTCCACATGCATTTTTGCTTTGCGTTTTGTCTGTGTTTTGTTTTCTACAGAAGGTCTTAGAAAATTAATATTCTTAATTCTGTGAATTTTCAGTTGAGTTCGGTAATTGTTTAAATGTTTTATTAATTATTTTTTAATTGTGTTTCTTAATAATTATTTAAATGTAACTTTTAATAGTGTAGCTATCCCAACTTTGTTCAACATTTTTTTTAAATTAAGATATTTTCTCTCAGGCAGATCTGTAGTAATGAGTTAAACAAAATAAAAATAATTGCAAGCCATTAATTGTCTCGTTAATCACTTTTTTTTTTGAAACATTACTAGTTGAATAGAAAATGTTCATTTCACATTGTTATAAAAATGAAATACAGATATTTTTTTTTGCAAATTAATATGTGTTTGCGATCCATTTGGGGGAACTTTCAATAGTCGCCACGTTTTTTTGGCAATTCTAATTAATTACCTTAGAAAAAACAGCATCCTTAACAGCAACTGGCACATTATATTCTGGGTTTTCGTCAATAGGGAGGGCAGCGTAGTTTGGGGACTCACGGAATTTCCACTCCTTGAAATTGATAATTGGCTTCATTTTGCTAGCTATGTTTTTCTGTTCATTCATAAGAACCGGTAACATGCAGAATGCACGCCGCATTAGTAATAACAATGGAAAATTTTAAATCTAATAATAAGATCTCAAGGAGACAAATAATTATTCTAAAGTCATTATTGTTTTGATAAATTATTCGACTATATACTCATTTATTGGACTTAAGTTTATCTATGATGATGTGCATTAATTTGTTTGGAAAGTAAACCTTCCTTCTAAGCAATACGTACTTTTTCGTTATACTTTTTCATCCAATTGACAGCTCAACTCAGCTGTCCTGGCAGTGTCAATGTCAATAACAGTCAATAATGTCATAATACATTGACAATTCTTTGGCGGAGTATGTATTTTTTTAGTTAATAAATAGGTAATAATCAGAGAACAAATATTATTAGTAGTAAATTCTTTCTACTTCTTCTCTTTTTTCTTCTGTTTGAGCACCAGGAAGAAAATTCTATGTTAGTCCACCACAGCAGTTCGGAAGCACAAAAATATATCACATTCGGTAATCCTGATGTGCTTACGATCCTTAATATAATATATTCATATAGGATTTTTTTATTGTAGAATCTGTAAATCAATGTGAATATTTAGAAGATATAAACCTGAAATAAATCTAATCAATTTTAAAATTCATACTTCATACATTTATCAACTTAAATAATCCCATTTTTAATTATTGTCTGCCTTTCAATTCTGAATGATCCTTTTAAGCCAATATCAACGAGGCCAATATGCAGATAGCAACTGTTTGGCACAGCTTGTATATTACAATAATTTGAGAGAATAGTTTTTGTTTACTTGGAACGAAGACGACCATTGTAAACGCTGGTGGACGAAACGATCTCTCATCATGATTGTGATAAGCTAGCTAGAAGGACTCGTACTCTGGAAGATGCTCTTCAGACGCCAGTTTAACACCGATATTATATAATAGGTCTTTACCTATACAATTGCAGTTTTGTATGCAATAAGTGAAAGTACTTATTTTTTCAAACTTTTTTATTTCTGTTATTCGAAGTAATCACCCATGCAATCGACGCATGTTTGCCAACGCATTGGCAGTTTATTGATGCCCTTCTTGTAAAAATCAGCTGGACGAGAGGCAACAAACTCTTCAAAGGCATTTTGTACTGCCTCTCGGGAATTGAATTTTTTACCTACTAAAAAGTTGTCTAAATTTTGGAAAAAGTAATAGTCTGTAGGTGCAAGGACAATGAATGACAAACAAATGAAAATAATTCATATTTATTTTAAAAGAACTCATTTAAGTAGAACAACTAATCTTAAGAGCATAGGCCCATTGCGGTGGTTGCGCTGAAAAACCTCGTTTTTCAGCTTCAGGCTGTACCTCAAATGGCTTCCTTAGTACTTCAAGCAAGAATCGCACCTGTAACGAAATGACATATATATTAACAAACCATCCCATTACAAGGTTCCCAGAAGAAGGAAGAGTGAGGTCGATTTCTGTTGCTAATAAACTGATAATTTTTTTCAACACAATAATTCTCCGTTTAATATGTTGGTCAGATAGATAAAACTGTAATCCTTTAAAGGTTTATTTGAAGTCCGAAACTCTAAAGATACCTTTTGAAAGTTATCCTGTTCCGCATCAACGATCGCTTCATGTAGGATCCAATTTCTCGGTATATAGACGGGGTTAACGCTGAGCATCCGCCTACGACGCTCATCCTCGAATAACACCGAGGAACCAGCATCCACTGCCGCTACACCACAATCACGACTATTTACGGGCAGCACGCCTAATGCCAAGTTATAAGGATAAAAACGCATAAAATCATGATTTGTTTGCTTGATTATAAATATTATTAGGTATAAAAAAACGGTAGACAAGGGCACTACTGAGGGACTTACTTATTTAGGACTATTAACTTGCTAGTTTATTATTAACTTTATAATATATATCGAACTCTTACCTGACAAATCAAAGCTATGAGTACTACTATTATTTCCGCTGTTGAGTTCGGTAAGAGCACGACTACTTGAATCATCACTTCATAACTGTCCCGTGTCCATCTCGAAATTGGCGAATAGTGGAAGTGTTATCATGTCTCACCTGCTTCCTTGTCAAGTCTTTCTCGATACTGGTCGAGCCAGCATCCCCAGGATGCGTGAGAAGACAAACGCTTCAGAGACCATTTTTCTTCTAGTTTAATTTCGCTCACCATTTCGCAGGGTTCCAGCTACAAAAATGTAAAACAATGAAAATAAAAAATATTTACATACTCTTCTTCTTTTCAACTTATCAATACCTCCATAATCAGAATGGGTCAATGCAGTCACGGTAGTTTGTTAATGTCTAGTTACTTTTAGTCCATTTAATCTAAGAGGTACCGTTTGACGTTTCTTACTTTTCAAGACGAAACAACTTTGTAATAGACGTAACGCACACAATTTCAAAAACCTTTTCCGTAAAGCCATGGAATTATAAAGCAATTTCCATTTTATCGCAATTTATACACAATGGGTTTTTTTCAAACTTCGTTTTAAAGTCATGTAGTCAGGTCCTTTACCGTAGTGTTGAGCTCTTCAAATGCACTTGATTGAATAATCGTTAAATGTATTTTTTAATAACGACTCATTTTCAATCCAGGCGTCTTAAAGTGTGTCAATGAAAACGCATAATTAGAATTAAAATTATGTAAGTTAATGTAATTTTAACAAATCTTTGCAGGCAAAATCGCTCGTGTCAAAGTCTACTGTATACTAAGACTAGTAAAACCCATGAAATACTTGTACACGGGCTTTTATAGGAATATACATAAATCTGTAAAAACTGTATTGATTGGTACATATTAAGAAATTATATCGATATCTCTTAAGAATGGGATATTGTAGTAATCGATTTCTTTGACCCATCGCTATACTTCAATCTATCCCAAATGTCAAACGGTACTTCTTAGATTAGATGGACTATAGTTGCCATTTTCTCACTAAGTATCGAAAAATCTAACCGTGTATAAAACACTTCATAATGATTGGTTGAGAAGCGAACAAACGAACATCGGTTTTATATTATTAATTAGGATAGTTAGTAAGGTTAAGGTCATACTTCAGCAAGTTGTCGGAATGTGGCAGTGAAGTCAGCACCAGTCTGCTGCATCATATCTAGCAGCTTTTCTACTAACTGCTCATCTCCCCAACGCTCTTCCTTCAAACCTATCTTTAACAGGAACGTTTCTCTGTAGCAATTCGTAAGAAAACATTAATCTCTTTTTTTTATTCGTGTATTTATTTTTAATATCTTAAAATATGTTACTCACAAAGTTTTATTTTTGCAGTAGGTATCCAAAGTTTTAAGTATATGTGACATATGCACTTGCTGGGAGGACGTAAGAAGCGGTTTCAAGGCGTTTGCTAGCTGTCCGATATTCCATACTACGACCTGAATTAACATATCAGGTATCAAGTGATTTAAAAGACTTATTTGTTGTAAAATATAGGTATGTAAATACTTTAGATCAATCTCACATCTGGTTGTTTCGCTAGTGCATATCGTCCTTCGCCGTCAGAGCAGTTGGAGACGAAACCTCCGTCATAGGAATCGACGAACCCGTAAGGACCATAGTCCACTGTGAGCCCCAAGAGACTCATGTTATCAGTATTCAAGAGGCCGTGAGTAAAACCAAGGCCTGTTTAAATAGAATTATATGAGAACATAATTGCTTAAGTCGCAGTTGTAAACGTTCAGGGCTTGTGACTTTCTATCTTATGAATAAATAAATAATATATTTAATAGAAAAGGTTTGTACGAAATACTAGCAGAGAGATGACTATCATCATTCATTACTGATTTATTATTTCCATATTTTGATTCGTAATCGTTTGCCCCTTATTAAAAAAGTAATATATTAACAGTCGAAATCTTCAGTGTCCCACAACAAATACGTTTTATTGTAAATAAGTAAACGTAATTATAAATTATATTAAATTGCTTGAATGAATTATTAACCTTGCCACTTAGCGACTAGATCCAAAGTTTTGTGAGCAATTTCTGAGAACATTCTTATAAAACGATTCTCATCCGTCAATTGAATGTCTGGGAAGTATTCCTGCAAACCATAACAAGTGTTATAAATAATATTTTTGAAAATGAAAGTTAAATAGAAGGTGCCCATATCATTATAGATAATGAACAGCAGTTTTACAAGTTAATCTTAGAAGGTAGAATAGATTCTACAATATAAGATTAATTTGTAAAACTGCTTTAAAATTCGTAGGATTCTTGAACCGAATACGAGTACTATCATGTTTTAATTAAAGTATGCAGTATAAAATGTTTCGAATATTATATTTTATACCTTAATAATAAAGTCCGATAACTGCCGTAAGACACCGATTTCTCCACTTCTGGAAAGAATTTCCAAGGATCCAAATCGGAACCAATTAGGTGCCAAACGAAGAACGACTGCTGCACGCTCTCTGCGTGGACATCCGTTGTAGTAAATATCTCGAACAACTGCTTCATCGCTTACTAAAGACATTTTTTTGTTATTCGATCCAATTCAACAAAAATATACAATAAAATAAAAACAGAATGTTTCACTAACTTGCTACTAGTACCTACTCGTACATTAAAACTGTGCAACAATTTATTACTGTATCTAATTTATATTTATTCCTATCATTTTGATCATTACAGATAATAGGTGTGAAGAAAAAGTCAGAAAGAGAAGAGAGACAGAGATTTGAATGAACAGCATCAACTACAGGCGACAATTTCCGAAGAAATAACTATTTTCTGAATTTTGGTGAGATTTAAATAATTGACATTAAACAAGAATGGGTAATAATTCAAATTGCCTTTTAATTGTTTCCATACCAACTAATCCTGCAGCCCTTGTAGTAGGTATCCCTAGGAAGTGACAAGCTTCAGATGCAATCATTTCCCTGATCGCACTTCGTAGAACGGCACGACCATCATGCACTCTAGCGTATGGCGTCTGTCCCGAACCCTTTAGTTGGATCTGCCATCTTTCCCCACGCCTTTGAAATAATTGCAATATAATCCACTAATAACACATGTGCTCAGGACTACTAAGAAAAACATATCATAGATAAAAAAGACGTACCTATTCACGTATTCGCCGAGAATATGAGCTCTGCCATCGCCCAATTGCCCCACCCAGAGTCCATACTGATGACCACCATATCTACAGTTTATGTTTTATTAAATTTATCGAGTTATTGTTTACTTTAGATAATTCTGGAAAATATTATACGGACCTATGCGCGACTGGAAGTGCTCCATAGGGTAATTTTTGGCCAGCAATGAATTCAGCGAATTCATCTCGATTGATCATTTCTGGGTCCATGTCTAGTATATTCACTAAGGCGTCCTCTGAAGCGCAAACTAATCTGATGTTACGCTCCAAAGGCCTTGGAGTAACCTGTTTGTTATAAATTGGCTATCTAAAATTTGTTCAACTTTACATGTGGACTACAGATTACTTTAGATCGCAAGGTGGGAAAAGTTCAACTCTTGAGACAATTATGTTCAAAACATATGTCAAGAAAAGAGAAGAAAAGAGTTTCAAGATTAAAAACTGGACTATCTTTTGCAGGTAACCTCGACAATACACAAACTATTTATTAGATGTTAAGAATTAACTGATTCATAGACTGAAATATAGATTAGAGTTACAGTAAGTTTGCCTAAAAGGTTAATTAATATCTTGTTCATAAATAAGGCAAACCTCAGTGGATTAGCTTGTTTATGTTCAACACGGTGAAATCGTGCTTAAAATGAAGAATGCTGATTAAAAACAAAAGAAAAATTTACTTCCACGTATTTTTATTACGACACACTTACCTTAAAATTACCGTATTGTTTCCCACACACTTTAATTTTTATAAAATAATTATGAAAAAGTGTAGAATAAATAAGTACCTCTGAGAATACGACATTCTTAATATTTGCCCGTATTTGATCATGATTTTCATCTATAGGTAATAAAATATATTTCGGATATTGGCTGAATCTCCACTCTGTAAGATTTCTTTTCAATGAAGGAGTTTCTCCGTCCATTTTCATCGCGCAAAAGAGGATAAAATAAAAATTAAAAAATATTCAACAAAAATAGGAATATTATCTTGAACTTACCGGCGTTTAATAAACAATATAGAGGAAACTAAAATGTATGAGAAAAAACTGTACTCTATGGTATTCAAATAGATTATATTCTCGTCAATTGTATGATTCTCAAACTTTAATTCGCACCAATTTTTCCTTGAAATTTCCTTGAAACAGAGTACTTACTTTTGGCAGTGGTTATTTAACCTTTACGACAGGATAGGTTAATTAATTATTACATATTTTTTACGCAATGGGTTTTACGATTAGTCTTCACTTGGAAGACTAGTGACAAATTGGAGTTTTGACAAGTTCATTGTGTTTTTAACTTGATTTTACTGTAGATTTCTATTTGTATAAGGCCAATTAATTAAAAGAGGTAAAATCCAATGATACTAATAAAATAAACATTATAAATCAGTTTTTTAATTAAAGCATTTAAAATTTAATTTATAGTGATCAATAAAATTTCTATTATAAGATAATATTTATCGATACTACATTTTTTTAGTATTTTTTTAATGAAATTGTACAAAACTGTTTTGATTGCATTTAGGTACAAAGATTTTAAGGCCAATGGCCAAGTTTCATTGTACATAATTATCTCTACACTCCATATACATAATGTAATGTTAACAACACAGAGAAAATATAAGAATAGAGCACGGAAGGGAAGCCTCACCATGTCTCTCGGTGCGAGAGAGATCGTTGCACGCAGAGGCCCTCTCTATCTCTTTCTTAATTCCCTATTTACAAGCAGTGAGTGAGAGATAGAGAGGGCCTCTGCGTGGTGAAGAAATCTAAAAGCATTGGGTTACGTGGGATTGGCGTGCTCTATTCTTCTATTTTCTCTATGGTTAACAACTAAATCCTAATCTTAGCATAGAGGGTACACGGAGTACAGCTGCCTGTAAGTGGATGCGATACAGATGCCTGATATTTCTCTCTGTCTCTGTTTAGCCAATTTATGCGATAGGCTACTTTTTAACTACTCATCCCTCTCTCACTCTCCAGCCAACCACAGAGCTCGACTAGAAAGAGATAAAGGGGACTATGTATTATCCATCTCCATCGTTGCCTTCTTTGCAAGATTGGCGCTCTTGTTCTCTCTAGTTTATATGTGTATCACTAAATCGGTAGATAGTACTGGATAGGTTTCCAATATGATTGAAATATAGTCGAATCCCTTATATTTATCCCTTATATTTTGCCTAATTTATTTTTTGTTATTTTAACACATAATCTCTGAACAGTTTTGAAGGTGATCGACAACAAAATTAGAATCTTAAATTATCTATATATATATAGGTATATATATATATCACCACCCCTATTCATCCCGTGGGTGTCGTAAGAGCCGACTAGGGAGCATACTACGCAGGTCAACAGCACTGCAAAGAGAAGGAAAACTTGACATAAACGCACAAACCTTATGCCAACCCGTCTGGCCAGCGTGGTATAATAGTAGGCCAAAACCTCCTTACTAAGGAGGGCCTATGTCCAGCAGTGGACTATTATAGGCTTTTGATGTGATGTCATGATGTGTGATGTGAATAATATATATATATATATATATATATTTATTATCTCGTATAGAAATAAATTAAAAATATAAATTTAGTTTAAGTTCAAGGTCACGGATAAGCTGCTAAATTCTAATAGCCCTATAGCTTGTGAACTTTGACCTAGTACCTGACTAATCTAATTTTGTAGGCCTATACATCAAAGCTCGTCCGGTGTGAAATTCGTCAGTTCGGCGACCGCAATTTCACTTTCGTGAGCCGCTTTCTCGTTCTGTCACTTTCGAAAAAATTCACAACTTGTGTGAATCAAACCCGTTTCCATTGGTAGTAAATTTCATTCAATCGGTGTATGTAATTTTTGTGGACTGTGGATAGTATTTGTTTAACAATAAATGGATTTTTGTCAAAAAATATGGTGTATACAGAGGGATATTTGAGGGAGAAGCTGACCAAGGAATTGGACGCCGTTCACGTCGTAAGTAATCTGTCAAAATTATATCGAACAATCGCCGCGCTGTAAAATTTTTGCTTATTTATTTTATGAATGAGTTAGAATTTGTTTTGAGTGTATATCCTTATAATTTAACAAAATGACGAAGAAATCGGATCCAGACAGATTTAATGTGACTAAAGAAGCGTTACTTCCCGGGCTATTATTCGCTTTTCTTGTAAGGTGGTGCGTGGCGGCATATCCATATTCAGGTTATAGGAAACCTCCAATGTATGGCGATTACGAAGCACAAAGACACTGGCAAGAAATAACAGTTCATACTCCCATTGTGAAGTGGTATCATAATACGACTCAAAATGACCTTCAATATTGGGGATTGGACTACCCACCACTTACGGCTTATCATAGTTTTCTCATGGGTTTGGTTGCGGACTGGCTAGATCCAGAATCAGTGCGTCTGTTTGCGTCGAGAGGTTATGAAAACGATTCTCATAAAACCTTCATGAGGTGGACTGTATTTTTAAGTGATATCTATTTTTATGCTACTGCAGTGCTGTGTTTATGTATAGATGCCGAGAGGATATTAGGAAAAGAACTTAAAGAGCCAAAGTGTGTTTTTAAAAGGACAGACATATCTACCACATTGTTTTTATTGTATCCAGGTCTAATATTGGTTGATCATGGCCATTTTCAGTACAACTGTATATCATTAGGTTTATTTTTATGGGCTACTTTCTTTATAGTGGCCATAGAGAATGATATTCTAGCAACTATATTTTTTGTTCTTGCTTTGAATTACAAGCAAATGGAATTGTATCATGCTTTGCCATTTTTTTTCTACTTGTTGAGAAAATGTTTTATAGGTTTGCCATTAGGGAGAGGCAAACTTGCATATATTATTAATAGATTTAATAAACTTGCAATTGCAGTCATTTCCTGCTTTGTTATCATATGGTATCCCTTTATGACATCATGGGAGGATGTTTTCCAAGTGGTACATCGGTTGTTTCCATTAAGCAGAGGAATTTTTGAGGACAAAGTGTCTAATGTTTGGTGTGCAGTGAATGTTTTTATTAAACTTAAGACTGTATATAGTAATGAGGAAATGGCAAAAACATGTATGTTAATAACAGCTATGGCTGCTGTGCCCGCCTGCATAGATTTATTCTTCAGAATAAATAGGAAAAAATTTGTTTTGTGCTTGATAAATGTGTCGTTGGCATTCTTTTTATTTTCATTTCAAGTGCATGAAAAAACAATTCTCCTAGTAGCAATACCAGTTTGTCTTCATTTTCCTGAAGATCCTTTTATGTGTTTCTGGTTTTTAATAGTGTCAAACTTCAGCATGCTCCCATTGTTCCTAAAAGATGAGCTCTTAATTCCTTTTGTTGCCACTAACTTTATCTATATGTCATTCTATAGCATCTGCTGTAAGTTATCGCAGCCAAATGCAGGGCTGTTCTCATTCTTCAATGCAAACCGAATCTACAAAATTATTTACCCTTCTAAAAAGAACAATTCTTTTTTGCTTAGGCTATTGAGCATCAACTTTTTCTTCTCAGTGATTGGCATGATAAGTTTGACTGTATTGTCTGTGTTCATGGAGCCACCTCAGCAGTTGCCTGATCTGTTTCCATTGTTAATATCAGTGTTTTCATGCTCTCATTTTATATTATTCTTCTTTTATTTTTATTATCAACAGTTCAATTTACCAGTTTGCTTGCCCACAATACTTAAATTAAAAAGAAAATAATTAGATAATGTAGAACAATATTGCTGTTTCATTTCATCTTTGTATTGCAAGGTTTTTCTTCCAAGATATCAATTCTTGGAAACAGTTTCAAAGACTTTAATTTTAAATAAGAATATGTAATACGTTTATGCTTTAAGTGTGATTGAAGGCATTTTTTACTTTAAGTTGTTAATTGTTTTGTAAAAAATAAATTAAATGATGAACTAGGTAGATGAATAAAAAATGTATATTTAAGTCACTGCATTCCAAATAAAGATTGTAATGACAGATTTTAGATTTTGAAGAGAGTTTTTGTTGTACCTCATACCAACCTATAGTGAAAATGTTCATGTGGCCAGTTATTTTATTAATTATTAATTATAATTACTGAGTTTAGCTCAGTAAACAACTTTTACTAGGTACCTATTTTAAAATATAGTGGTAAACTATAAAATAAAACCAAAATTATTTAATTTTGACTTATGTCAAATGCAAATGTATGGATCTGAGTCTCAATCCTATGTAAATATTCTCATGCAAAAATTAACAAACAAACTAATTAACAAACTTGAAAAATAGTGTGTAGGTGTGCATATTTACAACATTGTAGATAGTTCCACGGATAGGCTTAGAAACAATAAAAGCAAAGAGAAATTGAGGAACCTATATCTCAATATAAGTGCCTCAATGCCTCTAGCCTTGAAATTTATTCCAAAGGTCTCATTAAAAGATTTAATGCCATTCTTCATTTGCATGATAAGAGAGACAAATTGAAATTGAATTGACTAAGCTGTAGAAAAGTAGATAGTGGATCTCTGTCCAGTATCACACTGCTGGTTTGTTTATGTGTGCGTAGAGCCATCACAATTCAATACAAGTAAACATCATTATTATTATCAGTGTTTGAAATGGAACAACCGTTTTGCATTCTTTTCAATTGCAGCTGATCCTCGCCTCAATTCTGCTATTTTATGTTCACACCAAGTCACTGTCATACCACTGACACGCTATTGAGATGCCATCGAGTGGCCATTGGCATCGGTATAAATATCGGTAGTCTACCTGAACTAAACAATAACAAAAACAGCAATGATAATTCTATTAATTACCGTGTATTATGTCATTGTAGTTTATACGTTTGTATTAATAAATATGATAAATACATAACAACTTTATGGACCAAAATTAAAAAAACGTAATACATTTTCAAATTATAAGGAAATGATTTATTTATTTTTCCAAATATGGCAATCTTTTTGATATCATCACTGATGAGCCACTGCCATTCCATTACCACTGTAAATACACTGAGTTAGTGTAGACTACTGATATTTATACCGATGCCAATGGCCACTCCATGGCATATCAATAGCGTGTCAGTGGTATGACAGTGGCTTGGCGTGAACATAAAATAGCAGAATTGAGGCCCCTGTTTCAATACCAATTTAGTTTAAAAAATTATCATGACATGGACTAGAATTTTATATGGTTAAATCATAAACCATATAATATTTTAGAAGAAAAGAATGGCATATTATTATAAACAGAAACATAACAAAAATAATATATGGGGAGGAAGATATTATTTCGATGGATTGTCCAGCTGGTGTAGTGATTGGTAACCCTAGGCCGAAGTCAGGGTTTGGCTTAACAGTCAGGGTCGGCTTCATTTTGCTTTGAATATCACCTAGGACAAAAGTTGTGTGATTAGCCTAAACATCTATACAAAAGAATAAAATTGAAGTGTCTGCTTGTAATGTCAAAATAATATATTTTTCATGCTAACACAGTTATTTGCACGATACCTATGCAAAAAAAACAGTTTCTTGTTGTCTATCTGTTTGTTCCGGGTAATCTTAGATTTTCATAATATTTAACTACCAGGTAGCTGTCTATATAAGGAGTATAAATATAACCCTATAAAATTTTGCTCGGTACGGGAATCGAACCCACTAAGACAGATCTTTTCTAATTGAACGCGAACAAAGTGGCGGGTACTGGCTAGTCTAAAATATGTGTGTATCTAGAAACATATAAGTTTATCAGCAGTCTGGGCAGCAGTATAGGCTCTGCCTATTTGGGGATATGACTGTGAGATGTGTCAAGTTATTATTAATATTATTATTTAGGATACATTTGTTACTATCTTCAAATATACCTATATGTAATATTATAGTCTACCAATGAATGTGTATACTGTATAATATCTTTTTAACTAATTCCATACTTGCGAACATAACGGATGGCAAATAAATTTTAAAAGGTAAATACTAAGAAAAATTTAAGTGCAATAAAAAGCGTGGACTGCTTTCTCTTAAAATTGTATTGTAACTGTCCATTTTTTTTTCTACATAATTATAATTTTAATTATAATCTTGTCTCTTGTTTATAACTTATCAGCACTTAATTTTAACTTGTACAAAAAGTAAAAGGCAATAAAAAAAGGCTATTATACATATTAGTATCATAATCGTATCATTTAGGCATAAAGCAGCCTATGTAAAGACTTAACAAATAAATATGGCTACTGGTCTGTCGGCGTCGCAAGGACTTAAAATATTCATACTACTAAAAACATGGATCTTATATTTAATTCCTATTTGTTTTGAAACAGATTTTTTTATTGTAGAGAAAAGAAGTAATTTCAGCAGTATTCATTTAATACTTACAGATTTGTCAAAAAGATAGAGAAGAGAAATACTGATCTTTATTATTAATTTGATACTGAGAGGGCTCAGATTACCTAGCAAGAGCAAGTTACAGGAATGCAGCTCTCACCTTATCGTACGCTTATACTCTCTAAACCATCCACCTAAGCAATATTGGTTTCCCTTGTTAACTGACTTTCCCCCTCGGACTTGTCTGTATCACGTCATTGCGGCCAAATAGTATAATAGGCCTCTAACTACCCCTGCGGGATACAAGCATGAGTGTGTATTTTTTCTGGCAAACGGTCACTTGATGCTAAGTGACCACTGCTGCTCATTGATACAGCTAAAGATCCACAAATGCGTTGCCACCTTTTGAGTCTTCTCCCAGAATCAGAGGGCCTAGTGTAAGTGTATTCCGCATAAACTCACCATCGACGGTTAATGCGATTGGTGACGACTTCAGTGCGGGCCAATCGCAACGCCGAATGCGGTCAGCGTGTCGATGTACGATCGAGTAGATGTGAAATAAACTAACACTAGGCCCTCAGAGGACCTAGAGCAAGTTTATTTGGGCTTACTTGGGTCTCAGTTCTGTGGATTGATTGATGAAATTTACTCACTCGGTAAAGAGCAAAGAAAGA